CTTTTGTCTTGTCAGTCCATAGAATACTCTCCCAGAAGTCTTGGGGGTCATTCAGATGTTTGTTTGCAAATGTAAGATGAGCCTTTATGGTCAGCAGTGGTTTTGGCCTTGGAACTCTGCCATGGATGTCATTTTTGCCCTGCAGTCTCTTCCTTATTGCTAAGTCATGAACACTGAGCTTAACTGAAGCAAAGGAGGCCTGCACTTCTTTAGATGTCCTGGGTTCCTTTTTTAACTCCTGAATGAGTCGTCGCTGTGCTCTTGGGGTCATTTTGATAGGCCGGCCAATCTTGGGTAGGTTCACCACTGTTCCATGTTTTTTCCATTTGTGGATAATGGCTCTCACTTTGGTTCACTGGAGTCCTAAAGCTTTAGAAATGGCTTTGTATCCCTTTCCAGACTAATAGATGCCAGTTACTTTATTTCTCATCTGTTCTTGAATTTCTTTGGATCGCAGCATTTTGTTGCAGCTTTTTGAGATCTTTTGGCCGACTTCACTTTGTCAGACAGGTTGATTGAACAGGTCTGGAGATAATCAGGCTTGGGTGTGATCAGTGAAATTGAACTCCTCCTACTTTCCAAAAAAAAATGTGATTAGTCACATTTAATTCATGATTTAACAAGGAGGGCAATTACTTTTTTCACATAGGGCCAGGTAGGTTTGGATAGCTATTTTCCCTTAAAACATTAAATCATAATTTAGAAACTGCATTTTGTGTTTATTTTGGTTATCTTTTGTCTGATGTCTAAATTTGTATGATGGTCTTAAACATTTCAGTGGTGGAAATATTACAAAAAATAAGAACTCGAGAAGGGGGCAAATACCTTTCACAGCACTGTATTTACATGTGCTGGTAGATCAAATCAGAATGTACACTTAACTGAAGACATGGAATCAGAGAATAAATAGTACAGATTGGTGAAAGTGGAGACACTCAATGTGCTGGATTGTATTGGTGAAATGCAAAGTTGTCACTGCTGTGATTGTGAGTAAAATTACACTAACACACACAAACTAATGGTGAACAGGAGTTCACAATGACTAAAGGAATGAACTAACAGCCAACGTTAAATATCATACACTCTCTTCTCAAAGACAGCCGTATTAGAGATTCAAACATAATATAGTGATGCTACACTTTCATCAACACACATGTATTTGAAGAGTTCAGCTAACATCCAGTTGTAGTTCCTTGTGGAACCTCTTTGTGCCAGACTTTCCCATCAGGCTGCTCTCTCCACTTCAGGGTGACTCCACTCACTCCTTTCTCCTTCAGTCTGTCCTGGAGCTGAGAGACAAACATGGCAGCCATTGTTGAAACATCCATTCAAACTGAAATCTGTGTTGAGTTTGTAGGAAGCTAGCTTTC